GTGTGTATAATACTATAATTATATGTAACTATAATTACATGATAAAATAATTAAACATACGAGTTCCATTTTTATAATTATTAAATATAAATAATTATATTTATTTATTATATTATATTAATTGTTAATAAAATTATATTAATTGCTATTATTATAGCAATAATAGTTATAAAAATGGAGTTTCTAATAATAATAATTATTTTACTACGCAATTATAGTCACAAATACTAAACACTTCTTTCAGTGTCACAAGTCATATAGCATCTTTTGTCACATTGATGAACGAAGAAAGGCGATTTCTTGAGTTCGTGGGGAAGAAAATAATTCGTCTTGTGCTCGAGACGAGCACTTATGCAATTAACATCGTGATTTGAATCTATATACACAAGAGGCCTTATTGGCAAATGTCACTTGTAAAAGGACTTTAAGGACTGACGATTAGATTGAATAAAAGATAATTCAATTTCTCCGATTAGACACCTTGCGGAAATAACAGTGTTAATACTCAGTCAACAGCAATTTACCGCTCAGAAAACTAATTGAAGTGCAAATGAAGATGTTTATGTCTACGACGTTTATATGTATGATGATTAAAAGCTTCACTTTCTAAATTTTTTTATAGGCACATCATAGAAAGTTTGACATTGAATAAAATTTGCATTTCAATGGAGTATACATACACGTTTTAAACGCGTAGAGAAATAAACCGACGATGAGAAGTGGCGGCATAATTTCCAGAGAAACCGCATGGCGGAACACCGCGGTTAGTAACGATCGGCAAAGCTCGTTACTGGTGTTTAACTATCATTTAGGCAGGATTAAAGATAATCCAGTCGGTGTCGTTGGAGATATAGCGAAAGCGCGAGCTACCACTTACGGTCGTCGCGGTAACTCCCGATTAAGGTCGATTTATTACCCCCGGCGAAGGGTACCCCTTCTGAAAGGGGGAATGTGAACGGAGATAGGGGAATATACCTCTCGGTAGGCTTATCGATGGGTGACTATTATAATTTCCGGAAATAAAGAGTTCTCCATTGAAGAACGGTTTATGAGAAGTGTAGCCTATATTATCTTTTTTTTAAGAATAAAAAGAATAGAAATCAAGTTTTCATGAAGTAATATTTCTTTAAAAGAAAGTAAAGTATACGGAAAGAACGATTTTGCTGAAGTATTTAAAAATTTAATTATACTGAGAAAAATGTTCCGATTGTTTAAACTAACAAAAAGGTCCAACAAGAATGACATTTTAGTAAGATCAAATAAAATTTTTAATAACTAGATAAACGAAAATTATGATAACTAGAAATTCTGTTTTGTCTCATCAAAATGCATTTCTTGTTGGACTCATTTGTTAGTTCAATCAAAACATTTTTCTCAGTGCAGATACAGATCTAAAAATAAATTTGTTGGACCATTAAAATAATTATAGTAATAGAACTCTTACACTGAAAAAATTTTTTGTTGAAAATGGGCAAATTAGAATTTTCTGATTAAATCTATTACTTTAGTTGAGATAACCAAATGTCCAATTATGATGATCGGAATTTTGATTGATATAATCAGTATCTTACTGGTTCATTCATTTTCAATTAGAATTTTTTCTCAGTGTAAGTGTGATGAGCTGCAAGCATGATGAAGTTTTGACATTCTAGTAACTAGCTTACTTATTCTGTATAATTATTTTGATAGTTCAATAAAATTATTTTCAGATATTTGTATTTAGCTAAATTTTTAGATATTTCAGCGAAACTCTTTTTTTCTGTGTAGTTTTTAAATTATTTCATAAATGACCAAAGAAAATGGGGTCTGAATCGCAACTTTATAGAGAAAGTTTATCGCTCCCTGTTGGGATCGGGGTGACTGTAAAATAATATCGTGGGACGACGCATGGATGCACAATTTGTCAAACTCGGTGCATGGGGGTGCAGACTGCATACGAAGGAGGCGTTTCGATGCTCTAGGTGTTCCAGGTATTCCTCGGAAGCAGCGGCGTGCGGCGTATTAAATAATCTGTAAACATAGCGTACATATTCTCTATATGTACGATGTACGCCACGATAAAACGAATTCTCGCGACGCGATATATTCCTGCTTTAGTTTATAAGTTCGTATTAACGCATGTTAAATTAGCTACACGTGTGGCCGAGTGTCCCCGATGAATAACGTCCTTCGTGGCGCGCGCGGGTTAAGCCGCTTTCAAAAATATGCCAGCACCTATAGCTCCAGTCGGCCTCGGGCAGCATCGTCGAGACTTTGTCGACCGACGACGATAATGTCGGAGGTGGTAGACTATGGTAAGGTCAAAGGCGAGCTCGAGAACTTCCCTTACCTGAAGGTTCAAAGGAGGAGGTCGGGCATTGTTAGTAGCGACTTATTGAGGGAGAGTGGATCCGGCGCCCAAGAGAGTCGCCAGCACGGTGAATTATCTCATATCGACATTACGGTTCATTGTAATCGGTTGCGGGATTATCGATTTTTCATTTATAACCCAAGAGAGGTGAGGGGCTTCCTGCATGTCGTTGAAGGTCAAAGCCGCGTATTTTTAGCGACCGCGCGCGTTCGGGAAGCATGAAATTTGTGGAAACGCGAAAATACGTTCTCGCTCACGCAATGGAACAAAAATAACATCGCATTACCGATTAATCCGCAAATTATATTTTAAATTAGTTTACAAAAATCTTAACAAAACTCCATTTAAAGTCTTCATAACATGATTAAAAAGTAACATATTGAAATTAAAAAATGCATTTTATGAAATACATGCAATACAGGCATGACTTCTGATCAGAATTTTAAGATAATGTTAATCTTTTTTACAAAAAATTTCAAATAATGCAGAAATCTCAATTTAATTTCAATTATTTTGAAAACTTAACGTACTGATGAAATTTGACTTGTGATATTATTTTTTTCAGCATCCAAAAATCTATAAAAAACATCTTGTTTGATTCAAAATAATTTTTGACTGTTATTACCGTAAAAATACATTATAAAATAAAAATAACAATTTATGCTGTAACAAGATGCTGTATGCGCTGCGTCTTTGGATCGGAATAATATTACCGCGATCAAGATTATTAGTGAACATTATTAGCGAACAATAGTTTATTTTATCGGATTAGTTCGCGTTGAATAGCGATTTTTAATTTACTCGCACAATTCCCACAGTTCGTTTTTTTGCTGGTCACGTAACTAACTGGCTTCCAACCAACAAAGACTGCCCTGAGCAATAATGTTGAAGCCGCTCAGTTAAGTCAAAGGAATGTTCGAACCTGTAGGTGAAGAGCGGCTCGACTTCAAGCAGCGTGCTCGAGCTACTTTGACGAAGTTGTTCTTAGGAAGTTCCAAAGAACGATGTTAACAACGAATAGCATAAATAAATTCTTTTGAAGTCCCTCGAAGAGTCCACCGTCATTTGACATTGGCAAATGATCGTTAAATAAGATGAAAGGATACTTTTAAGTCGACAGTATATATAACCAGAGCAAAGTGAATATTTCGGAGGAATGAAATTTAATCAGCTTCAAAAGTAGTTGCTAACAATAATTAATTGAATGTTCTCTGTTTGCTTATTTGTTATAAACAGAATCATGATTTGAAAGGAGAGAGTTAATTAAACTACACTTAGAGCTAATTGATGTTAGTAGGAAACCGTCCATTAGACAGTTAATATGAATTTTGTTTAATAACTTCACACTGCAGCTACCGCAGAAGTCATTTTCATATTGCCTGTATGCAGCTTCTCTCTGTGACCAACTTGGTTTAAATATTGCTCTCTGTGTGTAGATATAGGTATATCTATATTACTTTCTCTCTCTCTCTTTCATGTGCAGTCTCCGTATCTATACAAGTTTCTGATATCTGGTCCATTTTATTTCAGAAGTCTTATGGCTTATGCGCTCTGTATAAGATACAATCGAAATTGCGATAAAATCTAGAAAGAAGCGGAAGCTTATTGTATCTCATCTCTTGTCTTATTTTTCCACTTATTTTTACACGAGACAGCCCTTTTCCGAGACAATTTTGGCTCTATCTCATATAAATATGTATATATAATTCTATATAAATGAATTCTTGAATATAAAAAATGTTTTGTGTGCATCAATTTGAAATTTCACTTGCCTTATCTCTTCTTATAAGCGACAGACTATAAACGAGACATATTGTCAAGATGGTTGCGAGATGACTTTCGATAACCGACTGAAGTGTTAGACATGATATCGATTGCAAACAGTAGCTCATGATGTATCGCGATATTGCGAACGATCGCGCGCATAAAAGCACATCTAGCATCCCCGATAAGAAATACCTTTAAAAGCGATACCTCGTTTGTATCCGATACTCGACTCTGATATCTACACTTCTTCGTTTTTTCAGGAAGACATTCTCGTGACTATCTCTCGCTCGCAAACCGAGAAATTAATTAGTTGAATGATACCATCTTGTTGATAAATGTTCTCTCTTAAATCGATAAAATGGATGAAAAACATACGCGCGATTTCCTTGAGCGATAATGAAGTCAGAGTTAAACTCGTTATTTCCCGTCATTTTAGCGGAAAACATCCACTTGTGGGATGAAAGCAAAGCGGATTACGTAATTTATTTGCCATTTATTATCTAATGAATTAAGATCTCTACGAGAATTGACAGAATATGCATGAAACGGGATTATTACTGTAATCGATCCGACTATATTACTTCGCGTCAAACTCTGCAGTAATACTCCACATTGGTTTCTGGAAGTCGATTAATGTAATTCGGACGTGGCGATGATTAATGAATAATTATAATCAATCCTGGACGTAATAAACGTAGTACTGTATGTAAAGTCGAATAATGAAACGGAACAAATTAACTCGATCAATTAAACAAATTTAATTAATAACACATAATAAATAAGCGAATATTTTTCATATATCCATCTCAACGTTTCGATAAAACTGATATTTGCTGTAGGAATTATTTTGACCGTTGAACGCTGATATATGACTAAAGCTTACCACGAGGAGGATACATCGATTTTCAGAAGTTACGCCGCCGCATCCGAGCCAGCTACCGATGACAGCCAGTACACCTGCGACGATCAAGGCGTAGGCCAAAGTAGGATACGTCGACGTGGACATCAGTGACACGTAGCTGTGCTTCGCTGCCACCGTCCAGATACCGATGCCACCTACCACCAGTCCGGACAGCTGCAACACATGAACGAGAAATCCTCAATTTAATTTTACACAGGCATGCAATGAAACATCTGTCGCGATGTGACTTACGATTTATATGCAGTCTGTTAACGCACTCTACGCAAAGAAAAACATTATGCAACTATAAAGTTGATATTATAAACTATAGTTTATTCAATTATGTGTGTACATTAATTCTACAGATAAAACTTGTATACTTGTCACTTTCATATTTGCCACCACTATGCCTTTTTCTCTGGATGTAGTAAAGTGTTTCTCGATAACGCAATTGGTGCAAATAAGATTTCTCTAATTGATACGCCGGAATGAAAATTTTTATCATCGCTGATAAAAAAGGCTTCTCTCGAATTGACTTCTCTTATATTCAAACTTTGTCTTTTACAGGCAGCATTTCCCTATCCCTCTCTTTCCTTTCACAGAAATGAATTCTCTAATATGATGAAATGAATCTCTTAAAAGTTGACGAAATGAGACTAAATCTCATTGATCTTCCTCGAATTCCTCGGAAGAAACCCGAGATTGATTATACCCGTCCGTCATCTCGGTTGTCGTCGGCATCTTCGAGAAAATCTCTAGGATAATCGCTACCACCGATCATCGGGGAGAACACAGCTAACGGGAAGCGAGAGTCGTCGTTCATGTCCGTGGAGAACTTCCGATAGGATCGGTTTATGGACAGTGCGTTTCATTCAATTTCGTATCGTGCCCGCACCGACTTCACCGCGGGCGCAAAGTCGCTCCGATGAGTGCTCGGATATCGTCACCGCCCACGACAGCTGGTACGAGAGAGAGAGAGAGAGAGAGAGAGAGAGAGAGAGAATGAATAACGGATATTGGTCCGATAACTACACGCACCAATGCACGTAGGCATTGCGTATACGGGGTGTCCGTTAATTGGCGCCGCGAGCAGAAAGTAAACGCTTCCCGTTGACGCTGAATAACATTCCGAGATGTTTCCTGATGGTGAATTTTAATTTGAGACCAAAACTCAAGAGACGTTTAAAGAACAGTTAAAAAATCATTCAAGTTAACTGTCGCTTTCAGCTTCTAGCTTAATCTAGGAAAAAAAAAGAGTTAAAAGGATTATAGCAGAGTACTTAAACTATGTCGAGATTACTCTTCCAAGATAATTGTCTCTAATTTCCTTAGAATCGTTCTTTAAAAAGAAGTACTCTTTTGGAGCCGTTTCCATCCGTCTTATCCATAAGGTACATAGAGATTCTCGCGCGACTCTTTTTACTCGTACAGCGTTTTACGCGCGTAACGGAAGTGTCATCGTCAAACGTCACGCATCGCGTCCGATTAAATGCCGCGATTTATCCTGCGGTTCTTTTTGTCTCTCACACCGGACATCGTTTTTCTTGCAGCGCGATATTTTTTCCCCTCCCTCTCGTTTACAGTGACACACGGACACGCACAATGTTCCCTCGCGAGAGAACGGTCGCAGGTACTCCAGAATATACGAGCCATGCCGACGTAAATATCGGCCGACACGCGTGATATTTACGGTATCGGGGAAATGCGGTTCACGTAGGTCACCGTACACCGTCTGAAGAACAATGACCAACTTAGAGACTGGCTAGCATTCTCCAATCGCATAAATATGCGTTTCATAATTATGCATTGAAAAAATTATACATATATGAAAAAATTAGGGATGTGTGTGTGTGTGCACCGTGTGGATCGTAAAATTACCGAATACCGGATATCGGATATTCGGATAGAATGTAACATCGGATATCCGGTATCCGGTCGGATATCCGAGAAGGCAATTTCTTCAAGTCGGATATTCGACATTTTCCGGATATCCGACCGGATTCCGAGAAAATGTCTTCTTAAAAAAAAAAAGAAAACAATCTATAAAGGAAAAATTGGAATTTTACAATGTATGAGACAGTATAGCATTATGAATACACTGAAAAAAAGATTGGCTGCTGCAGCAAATTAGATGGTAAAATATGACATAGCATTTTTAATTGATTGTATAAAAATGCTATGCCATATTTTACCATCTAATTTGCTGCAGCAGCCAATCTTTTTTTTCAGTGTATGTATACTTATTTCTAGAACATTTGTATAATAAAGTATCAACAATTTAATAATAATCAAATTTCAACCGGGTATTTCCGGATACTGATGATATCCGATTATCCGGTGGCATAGTAAAAAAGTGCCGGATAACACCGGATATCGGATATTGTTCGGATATCCGATGCCTCCCTAGAAAAAATATTTTGATTAAACCAACCAAAGAGTTCAAGAATGGCACTTTGGTGAGATCAAATAGAATTTCTAGTTATCATAATCAGAGATTCTATTTGGTCTTGCCAAAATGCCAATCTCATCGAAAAAAATATTCCGATTAAACCAATCAAAGAGCCCAACAAAATAATAAATAAAATAAGAAATTTTGTTAAGACCTTTCATTAATTAATCAGAACATCTTTCTCAATGGACATCATGTATAGCCGATGCAGAGGAAAAATGTGAGGTTTCGATTGCGACGCTGCACAGAGATGAATATTACTAGAGAACAGCGCGTGACAATTCCTATCTAATACTATCTTATTGACTCCCTAACATATGGTACGGTAGTTATCAGAACCCAGGAAGATAGCATCAGATCAGGCTTTATTTTGTTTATTTCTTATTGAATCAATGTACAAATTTAATAAAAATAGTAAATAATAACATAAAATTACTTCTTCTATTTATTTATAAATGAAAAAATAAAATAAAGTTTACTAACTAATAAAATGATTACAATAATAAAACAAAAAAGAAATGCTTTGATTGGCAAAACCGTTAGACTACATCTGACTCCGCTTTGCCATTAGAGGATTAAAACTTTGTGTTTTTTTCATCGTTGATTTGTTTCAAGAGAGCATTAGTCGAAGCAACTTGGAATGATAATTGATATCGATAATCTGAGATTGAAATGTATTATTGCACGTTACACCAATAACGATTATTATCTAACACTGATCGGATATTACGGAATCAATGCACGAACATTTGCCAATGGCTGCATAATAATCGATAATATGCTGGCTGCATTAGTCCTAGGAATCGTGATAAGAAAATTTTTGTAGATTCCATTCCATTTATTACGCTCTAAAAAGTATCGAAAATCTGTTTGAATATTATTTCCATCTTTTACATTCCAAATAAGTTTTTCAATTTTGGACAAAAGATATACTTATCTGTTCCTCATTGCATTTAGCTCTTATACGATGTATCTTTTTTGGTAAAAATTACAGTAAAGCGGCGCGTAAGGGAGAACTGTTATTGGAAATAAACTGATATTATTTGTAAAATATGCGAATGTCGATCGGTATGCGATATCTACGATATTGAGGAATGCGGCTTTATGAGCGCAAGCTCATCGCTGTTTTGGTTCGAGAGCTGAAATTACCTAGCCTGGAATTTACAGTGTAAATGTGTGGATAATGTGCGACATTGTAACGGCGTATTATGATAATTTGCTTTAGAGCTGGTTCTCTATCAAGGAATAAAAGTACCGTAATTTTAATCGTAGTTTACAGGAAATACTGCAGTTGTGATATCCATGATATATCGATGGCGTGTAATTGTAAAAAAATAATCATTTAGTCGAATAAACCTATTGTTGTATGATTGTAATGTTCGGATGGACCAATTCGTGGCGTGACAGAGAAGCGTTGCGGATGCGTTCAAATGAATTACTTCGCGGCGCGACAAGGATGCGTCACGGGTCCATAGTTCTTCACAAGTGACAGAATTATATCGTGATATACAGATTCGTGTAATAATGCTACATATTTGATATTTGTAGCACGCAGTTTTATGCCGTACGTTTATACGTTACATTTATACGTGGATAAGTCAAAATTAAGGTTATTTATTGACTAATATCATACAATCATACATTTATACTGTAGACTTTAAGAGAAAATCTCTTTTGTGCCGCGAGGAAGAATGCCGCCATTCGACATTGAATGTTTTATAATAGAAATACAGGCTCGCCCTCCTGGAACGGTAAATTACAGAACATAGCAATAAGCTATAAAAATGAAAAAATGGACAGAAATTTGTACATTGTTCACAAAACGCTTTGAAGAAATGGACGTTGCAGAAGAAATCAAACAGGTGAAGTTTTGTTGAACTTTCAATGTACGATTTCAATATCTTATGCAATGTACCATTGTACGGTAGATGAGTCCATAAATACACCTTAATTTTGACTTATCTATGTATAAACGTAATGTATTAAACTATGGCGTGCTACAAATCTGTGGCGCTATACGAATCTATAGCACTACGAGGGAAAGAACTTGAAATGTGCATAATAAAATATCACGAAACATATTATTAAATGTTGCAATTTTGTTGATAGTAAAACAATAACATTTTTATACGATAAATTTTATATATCATTACAAATGATATCCCTGTGCCAAATCGTACATACAACATTCTTACGGCGTGTTTTTCCGAAGTATCAGCGTGATATTTGATACAGGACACGTTTCCACGCATAAATAACAAATGTTTCGCCGTATCCATTAAGGAGTCAACGGCGATGTATCCGGGCAATATTCTCGGATACATCGGGATCGTATTCGAGTCTCGGCCAGCGTAACGGGCACGTGCGTACGTACGATTCTGTACGAAAAGGAACTCGATTCGATTCCCTACGGTAATAGGACCATCGCGGTACCGGGCCGCAATTTATTATTTTATCATTGTCCCGATGGCGCACACGCGCGGACGTTTATTCTCACGTACGATGTAACCTGTGTGCGCGTCGGGTCGGCGATAGGATACGCCGTATAAATTGTATGTATCGCGCGCCGATATTCTTCGCGTCTACGTGCCCGTATTTCAAATCACCGGCTCCGTATCCCTCGCCGCCCTCGCCGCCCGCGCCGCGTCGCGACGCGTCGTCCAATCGCGGTCGGGAAACAGAGCCTGGGAAAAACGAACGTACGTATCGAAACTGCCCGTGTTTC